CAAAGACAATATAATGGGGTCCAGAGTGCAACTGATACAATAGTCAGATTTTCTAGAAAAATGGGGTTGGAGGTTCCCATAAACAGAAAAATAATGGTTTGAATACATAAGCCAGGAGAAACATGGGGTTGAAGGAAAAAAAGAGGATGGAGAAACTGTATTGAAGTTGAAAACTTGAGATGTGAAATAGCATATGATAAGGAGAGTGATGGGAGAATAGAGAGGGTGCAGATGAGGAGGGAACAGTATACTGTGATAATTGATAACCATATTTCATAAAAAAACATCAATAGTTCAATATTTATTAAATTCCATAATCCAAATCCATAAGGCAATACAAAGATTAAAATCAAAATTCAAAAGGTTTCATAATAACCATAGAATAAGTAAATAATAGGAGCAGAGCCTTTATTTTAGGCAGGAAAACAAGAAGAGAGCCAATAGGCATGGAGGAGGGATGCTATGGTTGCATCACGTAAAGTAACTAGTATAATGTTAGATATCTTATATTCTTAATAGTTAATCCTAGGAGGTTGGGGATTAATGGAGGACGAGGGCCAATATGCATGGAATTCAATCTGTTATTCTGTTTTGAGTTTACTTAGAAGTTAATAGACCATTACAATGATGCAAAACACATTAGAGTATAAAAGAAAAGGAAATGAAATTTATCAGAGAAAAAAAGGTGACTCGGGTGGAGTAATTAGAGATAGAGAAGGGAAAGTGGTGGCATTATATTTAGGGCCAATAGGTGAAGATAACTCTCCCATGGCTGAAGTTTTAGCTCTCCTCCAAGGGATGAGATTGGTGAAACAACCGGGCCACTGGCCTCCAACAATTTGAAGTGGAGGGAACTCAAAACTGGTGATAGGGTGGTTACATAAAAGCAACATGGGAATTTGAGTCCACAGGCAGTCCTTGAGGTAGAATAGAAGCTTATTAAGGGAGCTTGGTGCAACTGTTAAATGGGCTAGAAGATCTTTAAATGGTTTCACTGACACACTTGCCAAACAAAGTACAACTAGGGGTGATTTGTTTTTGGTTAAATTGTAATTGAATCTTTATGGGGGGGTAGTCCCTTCTCTTTCGAGGACTGGACCAGAAGAAGCATGCATCTAGGTTGCCTTGCATCTTAGGTGCACCATGCATGTGTCCTTGGGTTCAAGCAAGGTACATGCTTTAAAATGTGCCTTGCTGTATACCTAAGCATGCTTGAGGTACATCTTTTTTTAAACACTTTTAGGTCAGAGACTTGAAATTTTCAGGCATATTTAGAAACTTGTTTTGCAATTTTGTAGATAAGGTTGTCTTGGTTAAAGTTTTTATAGAACCAATGAATAGATTCCGGAAGTATTGATTATGGGGCTTTCCATAATCGTGAAACAAACATATCCAAAAAATGAGAGTAAGTAGACTAAGATGGTTTGGCCATGTGCATAGAAGACCATCTATAGCACCAGTTAGAAGAAGTGATTTGTTGCAAGTAGAAAATTTAACAGTGGATATGGCATTAAACAGAGCAACTTGGTGAAATAGGATTCATGTATCTAACCCATATAGTTGGGATAAAGGCTATCAATCTTCCAGTTCGTGAGAGATCAAAGGTTTCAGGTAGGGGTGTAAACGGATCTAATTCGAATCGGATCAGGCAATATCCGAATTCGAATCTGATTAAAAAATTCGATATCCGACGGATATCGAAAATTAATATTCGAATTCAAATTCAACTAATTAATTATTTTAGGTAATTAATAAATATATAAAATAAATATTTTATTTATATAAAGTATATAAATATATAAATTATTTATATAATTTAATTATTATATATATAAAGTATATAAAACATTTAAAAATTTTATATATTATATAAGAATTAAATAATCGGTTGAATTCAGATATTTATCGAATCGAATCAGGTCATATCTGAATTCAAATCTGATTAGTTATTTGGTATGAATAGGATATCCAAATTTGACCAATTAGATATTCAAATTATCCGAATTCGATTCAATTATGTCAAATCTTGAATTCGAAATCGGATTTTCGAATACCATTGATACCCCTAGTTTCACAGGTGTCTAATGTAATGATTAACCCTCACCCCAACTGAGTATATATATATAATCCAGTGGACAACAATAATGTGGAGTTAACAGGGGGGGTTGAAACAAACTGACTAACTGAACTGCATGAGAGATGTCTGGATGAGTCATGGTGAGATAGATGGAGATAGTAGAACTTGTTCCAATAAAGAAGGCCTGAAACTCTTGTTGGCTCCCTCCACCTCATGGCTTTACTAAACTGAACTTTTATGGCAGCGGCATGGGTAATCCAGGGCCATCTGGAACAGGGGGAGTAATAAGAGATGAACAAGGAATCTGTTAGCTATATTTTCTGGATCAGTAGGGGTGGGAGATTCTTTGAGGACTGAGATACTTGCAGCTCTTGAAGGGGTACAAAGAATCAAGGATATGCATATTAACAAGCTGATCATAGAAGGAGATTCTGAAGTGGTGGTAAACTGGCTGAAAGAGGATAGCTTTAGACTTTGGAATTACAACAACGAAAAGAGGAAATTTAAGTGGCTGACTAAGGACATGGAAATTCAATACAAATGGGTAAAAAGAAGTGCGAACTCATTGGCAGATGGTCTAACTAGACAAGGGGTGAACAGAATTTCTATATTTTGGGCTGTATTGTAATCGGTTTTTGGTGTTTAATGGTTGCTCTCGAGAGCTAAGATTGTTTAGCTCCTTGCCCTGCAACTTTTCATAATATTAATACAATTCACAGTTATTGATCAAAAAAAAGAAAATGAAGGACCCAACAAGTTGTCGATATAGAGTAGCATCAGGAAGCAAGGTCCCATTAGATTTAGACAACTTAACATTGAGTGCTAGAGGTGTATCAACCTATTTGGTGTTCGTAAGACTAGCAAGCTTAACAAGATCAGAGGCATATTTGTGCTGACAAACAAAGTAGTCTTGATCACTTCATTGTACTTGCAGCCCCAAGAAATAAGTAAGAGAACCCAAGACTTTCATATGAAAGGAATTGTGGAGAAGAGACTTAAGTTCTTGAGTTCCAACCTCATCGTTCACACTCAACAACATATCATCAACATACAACAACAAGATTGTAATGCCTTGAGATTTGTGATGAACAAGGAGTGAGTGATCAGAGGCACTTTGATGATATTCAGTAGTAAGAACATCTCAAAACTTCTCAAACTAGGCCCAACTTGTTTGGGGCCATATAAAGATTTCTTTAGCCAACAAACAAGGGAGGTATCACCACTATATCCAGGAGGAGGCATTCTTCACGTCTAACTTATAAATGGCTCATGAATGCACAGTAGAGAGCTAGGAGGATACATACTATAACAATCTTGGCAATGAGAGCAAATGTCTCCTCATGAACCATTAGACTTCATGACTTGACGGTGTAAACCCAATGACTTCCGATGACTAAAGCATCTAAGGGAGGAAGGACTAAATCCCAAGTGTCATTCTCTTGCACGGTCTGAATTTCTGCATCCATGGCTTCTCTCCAATGAGGATTGGTAATGGCCTGCTCATATGAACGGGGAATACCTATGAAAGATTACATAACAGACATAAGAACTATGGTTTGAAGGGAAACCATAGAGGTCTGGAGGTCTAGAAATATGAGAGGAATGATGAAGAGATGTGGTAGGAATAGAGATAGAATCTAAAGTGACATCACTTACAAGAGCATCAGTGGAGGGGTGATTTGGACCGGGAGGAAGTGGGGTTGTAAGCATAGGATTTGGGGCACGTAACCTTTTGTGAGAGAAGAAAACCTTTCACACTAGTTGGAGGAGAAACATTCTCTGAGTCAAAATTCTGCAAAACAGAAACAAATGGAGCAGATAGCCTAGCAACAATAGCAAAAAAGGAGATATGCTCAAGGAAAACAACATTTTAAGAAACATGAATGCAATGAGCAGAGGGATCAAGAAAGAAATCCTTTGTGATTTGGATTGTATTCCACAAAGGCATATATAACAGATTTAGCAGATAACTTGGAACATTCATGAGACAAAAGATGAACAAAACAAAGACACCCAAAAACATGGAAACTAGGTAAGTTTGGAGGACGACCGAATAGTTTCTAGAAAGGAGACATTAGCAAGAACATATGAGGAAATGCAATTAATCAAGAAAACAACAGTATTGGCAAGCTCTACCCAAAATGAAGGAGCATGAGATACTTGCAGCAAAGTTCTCACAACACTGGGCACATAACCATTCTTACACTCAACCACTCCATTATGTTGAGGTGTCTAGATAACTTCGTTGAACTTGTATCCCATGACTTTTTAGATAGGATAAGAAGTCTCCATTAGTGTATTCTCCTCCTGAATTTGAACAAAGAATACGTATATGAGATTGAAATTGAACTAGTATCATAGCATGGAAAAGCCAAAATGTAGGATATACTTCTGATTTATGTCTCAAAAAGTAAATCCATGTGTACGTAGTGCAATCATCAATGAACAAGACAAAATACTTGTGTCTTAAGTCAAGAAATAACAGATGAGGTCCAAACATCACTATGTATAATTTCAAATGGTGAGGTGGCATGTTCAAATGTGTGAGGACAGTATGAAGTGCAACTTTTACTCAACCAACAAAAAACATATGAGGTGTCAAAAGTATGTAAAGATGGAAATTTTTTTTTTAATAGAACCAGATTTCTTGTGAAGGAGTCAAAGGCCTTAGCTTCCACATTGCATACCTTACTTGGGTGTAATCATCCTAGGTTGGCTAATTCCTTTCTGGCTTAAGGTTATGATTGAGCTGACATCAGTCTGGTTTGGTTCTTGATGTTATTGGGTCTGGCTATTCCTAGGCAGAGTACTAATTTTTAAGATATGGACGGCATTCATCTTTCTTTTTTCTTATTTTGATTCTTGATGTTATTGGGTCTGCTAATGTTTGTGAGACACCAAATTAACCGAAACTTTTTCTCAGGCAGTTGAAGCTACAAAGAACGTGGAAATGGGTAACAAAGAGATCTCTCAAGCCGTTCAGCGCAACAGCAGTAGCAGAACTTTTCTTTTGCTTTTCTTATTTGTACTTACTTTCTCAATCCTGTTTCTGGACTGGTACAACTAAATCTTTCTGCATTTCCATAATATTTTGGTTATTCACATCCTTTTCCTTACTTTTTTACCTTCCCTGTATTTTTTTATTGGAATATAGTTTTCAATGCATTCATGACAAAGGTAAGTGGATTTTCTTATATCTACACATTAAGAAGTTCAAATGCTATGGTGCCTACGCGTGGCAGCTCAAAAGTATGCGTGCTTTTGTCAAGGTAGGATTAACCTAAACCTGTAGGCTGTAGTTGGAGTGGAATAGTCCTGCTCTAGATGAAGGTTTTAATAGAATAGGTCTGAAAGTATGGACAGTTCTAAATTATGTTTTTTGACCCAAAAGGTGAACTATTTATTATTATTTTTTATATTTCATTTTTGGACAGTTATAAATTATGTATTTCATTTTCATTATTAATAAAAATAATTTGATTACATAAATGTGTAATTTTTCTACATTTTGTAATTTTCCATATTCGTTTCTATTTTAAAAATTTTATTACCTAACTATGACTTCGTAGAATTGTTTAATTGTTTAACCATCGCTTGGATAAAGAATGGTTTTTTAGTCAATTTTAAAAATATATGGATTTATACTGTTAAAAATATTGACATGGATATAATTAGTAGCATTTATTAGTGAAAATAACTTAAAAATATAGGATTCAATAAGAGAAAATAGGATTTAGTACTTAAGACTTAATTAGAGGAGATTAAATGAGGTAGAAAGTAATAATATAAGTTACATTTTCAAGCCTTACAATTAGACATAGATTAAATATACAAATATGAAAAGGGGAAGATAAGGGACTTCTCACCACAAGCCTCACACGGACTCCTTTCAATTCTTGCACAATGCATTCTTGCACAATGCACATGTTGTCTTAAAAGGTAAAAATAAAATATTAAAAATCATAATTGCTTCCTCTCCCATTACAATTTATTACATCGTTCTATTTAATTCTCACAACCCATTAGTTTCACTTTAATCCATCATATTTAATCATCTAAATTCAAATTGAAGTTTGACGAAAAAATACCTAAGAATTCTTTGTAGTTACACCATACTATTCAATTTCCACCACCCAATTAGTTTCACTTTAATCCTTCCTAATTAATCACCTAAATTTGGAAGATTCTTTAGTCTCTTACGTCTCACCCTCTCCTTTGCCTTCTCTAGAGTAACCCCTCCCTCATTCTCGCTTCTGTTTTAACCTTTTGAATATTATAATTTTCTATCTATTGTTCTTCTTATCATGATCAATGCTTATTCTTTTTTTTTTTATTTTATCATGATCAATAGAACTTGCTAGAGATTACCATATTTCGACCATCACAATAAGTTTTGCATTTTTTTTCTGCTTTTGTTTTACTTCAATGGAGTCAATGGCTAGCCTTTTATTGTTTCAAAGTGGTCTTATAAAGCTGGTCACGGGGGAGAATCCAATAGATAGCACAAGTAAGCGCTTTTGATTCCAACTTATTTTATTTTACTTCACTAGAATCATTTTCTATTTCTTATTTATTTTATTTCGGTGAGAACAGTGTCTAATCCCTTACCGGTTCAAAGTAATTATTTTATTTTATTGGAATTAGTGATTACTCTCTTTATTTTATTTTATACTTATATAATTTTATTTTGCTGGAATTAGTTTTCAGGTTCATTTTATCTGAATCACTTTTGATGTGATGATGGCAGGATTTAGGTGGTGTATGATAGAAGGGAAACTAAATGTATTTTACTTTCCAATATTTGTGGTCTTTTTTCCTTGGAAGAGCTTCATAAAAAATGTGTTGGTTGCTATTTTTATGGGGTTTAGTTTGGTTTGGGCTAGGTTGTTGAATAAGTTGAATGTCAGCGTCCAGGAACTCAGCAATATGTTGCAGAGGGCCGAGGATTTACTCAAGAAGGATGAGCCTGTGGTTATGCTTGCTG